ATCTGTATGTAAACAATGGCAGTTGCAGGCAGCCATAAGCTATTGCATCAGAGGAGTTATAAACCATATGCATTGCATAAAATAAGGATACTATTATACTAAAATTGTGAATGTCTACTTCAGAGCTAGTTGAATTGTGGGTAATGAAGGCCTCGAAAGGTTTCGAACGCGGCATTTTTCTGGCCCTGACAAGTTGTCTTGACGAACAAGACATGGAGTTCCGAACGCAGCATTATGCATCACAAATAATTTAAAGATAACAGCCACATATGTATAATCCCCCCGCCCTCTCTCTCTCTCTCTCTCTCTCTCTCTCTCTCTCTCTCTCTCTCTCTCTCTCTCTCTCTCTCTCTCTCTCTCTCTCTCTCTCTCTCTCTCTCTCTCTCTCTCTCTCTCTCTCTCTCTCTCTCTCTCTCTCTCTCTCTCTCTCTCTCTCTCTCTCTCTCTCTCTCTCTCTCTCTCTCTCTCTCTCTCTCTCTCTCTCTCTCTCTCTCTCTCTCTCTCTCTCTTTACAAGTCTAGGCCTATAAGGTAAGGGAGGGCGTAATTTCCACGTAAAGTAAACCAGAATAACAAAAGCGTGAAGGGACTGATGCGCAAGACCTTTACCTACATCCCGCACTGGGTCACGTGGAGAACGCAAGTGTTCAGATGTAGGTGAAGGTTTAGTCGCAAAGGTAGATCATAACGTCACCCTTGTGATTAAAGTAATTTCGGAAACCGGTTTTTTATGAGTAGATAATTCCAAGTAAAGATCAAAACTCTATTATAGATATAACGCGTCATTAACAAGTGTTTTATTATTTATTTACCAATGCGACAAATCCTCACTGGATGCTTTGGGACACCGCCGCAACTGGCTCGCGGAGCACAGATGTTTCGGTCTCCCTCCCCCCCCCCCCTTCCTCACTAACCTCTTAGCTTCTTGCCTTCACGTGGATCGCTGATATTATTATTACAGTATGAAAGGAATGACGGTATATAGTTGTCTGTTTATCACTATGTAGGTAATAAAAGAGGGCTGTGATTTGAATATAATGGCTTCGTATTTTCTCTTGGTTGGCAGGGAACTGGACCCTAACTTCAGAGCCAAAATTAGCTCTCCTTATTCAGTCAAGGTTACGTGTGCGAATGACTCAGTATGTCAGTGGATAGACACTTCGATATAAACATATTACATGTTTTTCTACAAACTGTATTTTTCTGCTTTTGATAGTCAATTATATCCTTCTTACCCCCCCCCCCTCTCTCACACACTCACTCATTCACCCTTCCTCATTTGATCTACTTCCCCAAACAAGGCAATAAAGCGAGGGTCTGTTTCCTTGTTCTTGATCTCCAGTACGTTCCTTCCTTGACTAATATAATTGAGTGTCCTTTTTCGTCCTTTGACACTTGGGTCTTTAAGGCTGCGTTTCTCATATACTGGCATGTGTAAATATGCAGATGTGGTGGACATGTGCAGAGCGGTTAGCCAAGGTTAACGATTTGTTATCCTTACGTACAGACAGGACAGTGGATTTTGGAGGTGCGGAAGAGCAGATTGGTCAAGCTTTGTTCTTTGGATAATACTGTCTCGCACGCGCACGCACACACAGTTATTAATACTTATATATATATATATATATTATATATATATATATATATATATTTACATATAAACATATGTGCACACATACACACAGACACACACGAACCACACACACACGCGCGCGCTTCATATATATATATATATATATATATATATATATATATATATATATATATATATATATACATATATATATAGGGCGTATATACATATACACATGCATACATACATAGTATAAATGCACATATATGAATTTGAATATATATATATATTACATATATGTATATATATATATATATATATGTGTGTGTGTGTGTGTGTGTGTGTGTGTGTGTGTGTGTGTGTGTGTGTGTGTGTGTGTGTGTGTGTGTGTGTTTTTTTATATGTATGTATGCATAGATAATTATAAACATTATATATATATATATATGCATACATATATATTTAAATATATATATATATTATATATATTATATATATATATATATATTTATCTATTCATTTATGCGACTTGTGTGCGTTTACACACGTGTGCGTGTATGTATACATGGTTTTGCTAGTGCGTTTTTGCATGTCAGCTGTCGGTTCCGACCGTCAAATCAGATAACAAACATTCGATGCTATCAAACAATGGCACAATTTCCCAACCGAAATGACGCGTCAGAGAGTTAGAACACGGAGAACAGTGTATCAGGTGAACACGATGAACAAGTAGAGCGCCTAGCAAGTGTTCACTCGCGGGGGGAGGGGAGGTGAGTGGTGGTTGGTGGGGGTAGCCGGGGGGGGGGGGTAGAATGATGCGTCGTGGTCTCACACCGGCGGGAACTTCGGCGGGCGGCAGTCTCGTGTCCTTCGAGGTCGACAGTGGACGTGGGAAAGGGAGAGAAAGTGTGAGCGAAGAAAAAATAAACAAGACTTTTAGAGTGGTAGTGATGGTGGTGTCCGTGGTATAGTGCGGGATAAGTGCTGCGATTGGCGTATTGTGATTAGTATCCTCCGAGATGCAAGAGCTCTGTGAATATAACGGAAATGCTATAGACTGAATCCGAAGGGGAACAAAGCCTCATTATTTTCGTGCTAGTGAAATCCGGCGTGTGACCGTAGACTTATTCAAAAGAACAAATCAAAGGGCATCATGTTGGCGCTGAAACGGATATTGGAGGGAGAGGTAGGTGTTTGTCCGCAGTTTATATGTACATTTTTATTTTCATCATACCCCAGTATCCAGTGTTAGCACCTTAAAATTACAAAACAAAACAAAAAAAAAAGAAATTAAGACTACCAGAATGTTTAATTTTTCAAGTATTTAGACCTCAAGCGTGCCCTAATCTTGGAGTTCCTTGCGTCAGAGAAATCGAACGCGCCAATTCAGGTTAACAGCGGCAGGAAAGCTACATCGTTACGGGGAAACTGCAATTTCGAGGATATCATGATCTAGAAAAAATACATAAACACAAAAAGAATATCAGTGTTAAAGATTCAATAAGATGAAGAAAGCAAATCATGAGTATGATAATGGTATTAACTTCATGGAAAAAAATGGCGGTGAAAGTAACGGTCGTTAGAATTTGAATACGTGCACTACACCAAAATGTATCCGGGTGCAATGTGAATTCATGCGCTATTATGTATCGGTTCAAGTAAAAGGAGATACATAGACATATTAACATAATTCAGGGGCAAGATAATAGTATTTACACAAAAGTAAGCAAACACACGTGCATACGCTCATACAAACCGTTACAATCAGTAAAATTACCGTTATTGTTGAGGTTATTTATCACCATTAATATCATGATTATCTACATCATAATCCTGGACATTGTCGCTGTTGTGTTTGTTGTCGTTGTTGATGTTATTCCATAATTATCAGTATCATTATTATTATCATTATTCGCATTTTTGTTGCTGCTGTTATCATTATTATCATAATCGTAATAATGATAATAATGAAATCATTATTATTATTACTGTATTTTTATTATTGTTATTATTATCATTATCGTTATTATTATTATCATGATTCATTATTGTTATTATTATTATTATTATTATTATTATTATTATTATTATTATTATTATTATTATTATTATTATTATTATTATTGTTTTGACTGCTGCTACTTTCTATCTATCTATCTATCATCATCATCAACATCATCATCATCATCATCATCCTCATCATCATCATCATCATCATCATCATCATGTCATCATTGTTATTATTATTATCATTGTTCTTATAATTATTATTATTATTATTGCTATTATGGTTATGATTATTATTACTATACTTATTATTATGTTTATCAATATTGTCATAGTGATTACTATTACCATTATCATTGTTATCATCATTAATGTGATTAATATCATTATGATAATAGCGATAATGATACTAATGACGATTATTATTACTATTGTTATCATTATTATTATCATTATCATCATTGTTGTTTTTATATCATTGTTATGATTAAACTTGAAATTATCATTCATTTTTTATCAGTAGTAGTACTGTTATTAATAATATTATCACTCTTGGTAGGAAAATAATCAATGCACAAACTAGAGACTCCTCACTCCCCCCCCCCCCTCGGCCTGCCCTACACCGAGAATTCCGTCGCCCTCTTCGCCCTCTCTACCGCAGGCTTATCTTTCGCCAGGTGAACACGGTCCGCCTCAGCCTGGCCCGCACTAGCCCTGCTTTTACGTCGAAGGGGGAACCTATGCTGTTCCTTGTACCTCCTGTGATAAGCAGGACTTTGGCGAGGCAGGCGGCAGTCTCACTAAGCGTCTGTCCTAACAAATACACTGTATCCAGGGGAAACAACAACGCCCTCTTATGCCATTAGTGGGGCACAGGCTATCAAATGGATTGGTCAGCTGCGCGAATTGTCTTCCATTCTGATGATGTCCATGTCCGCAGACTGTTGGAATCCTCCTTAAACAAGTTGCTACATAATTTCAACTTGAACAGTGGCTTTTTTCCTGCCGATAGTCTCAACACCCACGCGCTCCGCAGTCTCCCTCATGACTTCCCTTCGCTTCCGTTCACCTGTCCTCACCTGGCATGTTATCACCGCGTTGCCTCTCCTCTCTCTCTTTTATGCTCCCTCTCCTCCTCTTCCTCTTAGCCTCCGGGATAATACAGTGGTAACATATCGGCCTCTCATCCGAGGGGTCGGCGGTTCGCGCCCCGCCCAAGCACGAAAAGTTGCAATTGTCGTCTGGAGGTTACCGCTGTAGTTGGGCACCACGGTGGGTAAGGACTAACCTTTGTCGCGTCAACACGAGCTGACACACGTTGATCGAGTTGACATTAGGCCGGGCTCCCCTCATAGCCCGGACTAGGGTCAGCTTCGCATATCGGACTTATCCTTATCCATTCCTCTTTAGAGCTGAAGATGAAATCAAAGAGAATTTTCGAAATATCTCACTTTCAAGAAATCTAGTTTGTGCATTGTGTGTGGGTTTTTATGCCATCGTAACAACATGGAAGAGTGTTTTACTATTCATAATTATCATTACTATACAATTATTATAATTATGACTACTACTGCTAATGCTATTACTATTACTACTATCATTACCACTACTACTGCTACTACTACTACTATTATTATCATTATTATTGTTGTTGTTTTTGTTGTTGCTATTATTGCTATTATTATCATTATTATTATCATTATCACGATCGCTGAATCTAGTTTGTGAATTGAGTGGGTTTTTATATCATAATAACAACACGGGAGAGTGTTTTACTGTTCATAATTATCATTATTATACTAGATTATCATTATGACTACTACTGCTGCTACTGCTAATGCTATTACTATTACTGCTATCACTACCACTACTACTGCTACTACTACTACTACTATTACTAATATTATTGTTATTGTCATTATTATTGTTTGTATTATTATTGTTGCTGTTATTACTATTGTTATCATTATTGTTGTTGTTATCATCACGATCGCTGAATCCTGAAGAACTGGGTTAGCTGTGCAGGTTATGTGCCCGTCGTCACCCAAGGCCCAGCAGTTGATACTACCCTGACCTGCACTGCTGGAGCTAGAACACTGATGCAGGCACTACAGCCAAGGAGTTGAATAGTATTCGTGTTGACACCTGTTGGAGGATCCTTCAGAGTCAAAGTGCTTTTTATTGAGTTCAAAAACTGTTGTTCGTCCAGCGACATCGCCTCTGAAGGTTTCTTTTAGGATCTTCAGTGGCACCCTGTAATCTTTTCGCAGTGCCCGACAACTAACGGATCCTGTGGGACACCTCCAGACGCAAAACGCTGGATTCAGCTCTAGAGTCCACTGGTGACCACTCAGGGACAAGGCAGGACTTTATCTTGCAAGAGAAAATAGAGGAACATGCCAAGAAGATTCTGAACTCGGTGCGCCTTGTATCATTTTGGAAAATACTGAGACTCGGAGGGATCAATGGAAAGGCGGACTTACCAATGAACTAAATATCAAGCCTTTTAAACTGGTGCTGAAAATGTTATAGTATGTGGAAGGAATATGTCAAGCTTCTTTCCTTTGTGAGCTTAGGAGTTTGGAGTTGTCCTCCCAACCCAGAACTTGCATGGGCTAGACACTGGATATAACCGTCATTCAGGGTCAGTGCAAGGCTGGATTGGTCAATGTTAAAGTCACTTTGTTGATGTAGTTACTATCTTGTCAGAGACGCAGGGCAGGAGGATGAAGTCACTCATTTACAAAGCTTATGTGTGTAATCTCACCTCAGGGGGAAAGGTTACTGTTATCAGGATCATTATTAACATTATCAGTACCATTTTCATTATTACAGTAATCATTATCATAAAGCCACACATCTACTACATCTAGTACTGATACTACTACTACTACTATTTCAACCAGGACTACTACTACTACTACTCCTACTGCTGCTGCTGCTGCTGTTGTTGCTGCTGTTACTGCTACTGTTACTACTACTACTGCTGCTGCTACTGCTACTGCTGCTGCTGCTGCTGCTGCTGCTGCTGCTGCTACTACTACTACTACTACTACTACTACTACTACTACTACTACTACTACTACTACTACTACTACTACTACTACTACTACTACTACTACTACTACTACTACTACTCTAACTATTTCAGCTACTACGACTATTATCATTACTTCTATTACTCCTACTCCTACTACTTCCATTACTTCTCCGACTACCCATACCACTACCGCTACTACTAATGTTACTAGTACTAGTACTATTCTACTATTACTCCTCCTCCTCCTCCTGCTGCTACTACTACTACTACATTACTACTATTACTTTCTACTACTACTAATAGTAATGATAATAATAATGCTACTATTACTTATACTACCACTACCACTACTAATATTATTGCTAGTACTATTGATGATAATGATGATGATGGTTATAATTATATATATGTATATTATATACATATTTACACATACACACACACACATATATACATATATACATACATATATACATACATATACCTGCATATACATGCATATACATGGATATACATGCATATATGCATATGTATATATATGTATATATATATATATTATATATATATATATATATATATTATATATATTATATATGTATATATATATGTGTGTGTGTGTGTGTGTGTGTGTGTGTGTGTGTGTATATATATATATATATATATATATATATATATATATATATATATATATATATATATATATATAATGCATATATATATATATATTCATATATATATATATATATATATATATATATATATATATATATATCATGTATGTGTGTATGTATGTATATATACACACACACATACATAGACATACATAAAGTATATCTATACATTATACGTATGTCTATATATATATATGTATATATGTATATATATAGATATATATATATATATATATATCTATATCTATATCTATCTATCTATCTATCTATCTATCTATCTATCTATCTATCTATCTATCTATCTATCTATATATATATATAATATATATATATATATAATATATATATATATATATATATATATATATATGATATATATGATATATAGATACACACACACACACACACATCTATATATATATATATATATATATATATATATATATATATATATATATATATATACAT